CATAATGCAGAATCATTTGGAATTCAGAGTGTCATAATAATAATGAAGACCTGACAACCAATTCATTCACATCAGAATCTATTTGAACTACTCATTTTACTGAAATAAAAATAACATGTATCGGATTAATAAGCTGATGATATACTGAAAACTTGATTATCCGTATATAGATCACCTAGAATACTTATTCAAGCATTCAATTGTTCATTTCATTGTATTTTAATCTATTTCTAGTATTTTAAACAAACATAGGAACCAGAAATTTGAACGAAGACATATTTTCTTAGCCGAATATGTTAAACTTTACGGTGGTTGATTACATTATTGGAAATAATCAATCTATGATTTGTATTGTGTTATGATAACATACATCATTTTATAGTATTTAGACTCCTTTCACTCAATTGTTTTAAAATTTAATATAAAACTATGTTCGATAAAATGATTTTCAGTAGGGGGATTTTGTTGAGATTTTAGTAATTTAATAGTTGAATTCATGAGTCAGTTGAAGCTAGATCACCACAGAAAACGTGGAGACATTGGACGACCGTTTCGTTCTAGTATGAAACTCTTCACCAACGTGCATCCACGATCCCACCTCGAGAGATTCGAACCCAGGACTTGTCTGTCTCGTGCTAAATCGCTTCAATGACTCATGAATTTAACTATTAAATACTAAAATCCCCACAAAACCACCTTTTGATAATAATTATCATATGCTCACTAGTGACTGGCTTCAAGATGTATTTTCTGGAGTTCTAGTTAAAAGCCGTGACCAGTGGAGTTCAACCAGGTCAATTGTGAGATTGTAACTCACTGAAGACAATCGTGAACGTGTTGCTCTATTTCATGGATTAGTTGAAGTTAGACATTACCAGTGTTAGATGACGGCCGGCCAAGCGTTCGCATTTGAGACCGATAGGTTCTGGGATCGAATCTCGCGAGGCATGATTGTTGATGCGCACATCTTAGGAGCCCCACAAAAGAAGGAGACGGTTATCCAGTGCTCCTATTTGTCCATAGTGGTCTAGTTTCGATCGACTCATGGAACCAACTATCAAATCACTAATTTATTTTTACCCTATTCCATTACTTCCCCCTCGACACCTTTTTCATTTCAGTTGATTCAGCATTTTATTATTGTACTGTTTTAATTTAGGTCCACAAGCTATCATAATTTATTAGACGTCATAAGGCATTTGGAATTCACTGTGTTCATCAAACCTTTACAAAAATCTCATGTTTAAATCTATTTTTATATTATTTAGTTTTTTTTCACAGTTAAGATCATAGAATAATTTGAGTTTAACAACTACTGGATCCCGGACAAATGACGTAGTAGTTAGAAATTTACACGCAAAACAGGTGTTTCATTCCGATCCATAGTGACAGGATCATAGATCCTCACTTCAAAGAAGTTCCATACTATATTAAAATAGATGTTTAATGCTTCCTGGTTTTCAGTGATTGTTTAACTAATATCATTCCTTGAATTTATTTAAGAGATTGAAAATATTTCCATAAACTCTCATAGTATTCAGTTTATGTTTTCTGAATATAAATTACTTTCTGAAAACGTTATACTTCCTTACGTACTTACATCTTTTACTCTCAGTGGAGCATAGGCCACTGACTAGCATTCTCCAACACACACTGTCCTGAGCCTTTCTTCCTAGTTCTATCCAACTGTTGTTCATTCTTCTCATGTTTCTCTCCATTTCTCGACATAATGTGTTCTTGCTTTTCCTTTTCTCCTTTGCCATTGAGGATTCCACGTGACGGCTTGCCTTGTGTTTTCCTCAATCTGTTTCTTATCCACTTCCATTGCTTTTTCTTAATTTATTCCTCTGCTCGATTCTAGTTTGTTCTTCCTCATAGTAGATTGTTACTGATAGTGTCTAACCAAAAGCTTATACTAATTTTCAACTCCTATTATTTTTGAATACCCACATATTTCCATGGGGAAAAAAATACTTTCACTATGAGAATACAAGAATCATTATTACGTTTTCATAATTATATCTCGATGAACAATTTAGATTCTATCTATCATTTTCATTAACATAAAACAAATAATTTCAATGTAATCTCATTTATTATTATTATTATTGAAATAAAATGCTTTCCCCCCCTATAAACTTTTGAACAGAAGAAATAGAAAATAATAAAAAACAACTTTGTTTAAATTGGAGGGTTCAATAAAACCGCGGAACATTTAAAAGTGTGAACATAAACTGTAATTAAATATAATTGAATACTTTAAATCATTTAAAGTTTATCATTTTGATTAATAATGGTAAACCAAATGAAAACCCTATTAGAATGAATACAATGAGTCTTTATTAGGAAATCAGTAGTATCTTTATCTAATCATTTATGAAAGTTGGGGTATAAATAATATAAAACGCGATTTGTATTAATTGTGGTTCATTTAAATTAAACGATGTATGTAAATGTTTTCTACTTAGCGATGTTACTTATAATTGTAAGAAATCATAGATATATAGTTGAATAATTGTAATAAATGTAATGTTAAGCGTGAACAAAAGTAAACAAAATATGTATTTTTTTTAAAATGATGAACATTATAAGTAAAGATGGATAGTGGCTAGCAGTGAAATCAAGGATGCGCGTTTTGTCCTATTTGAGAATTGTCAGCTGGATGTATCCATCATTGATTATAAAGCTTGTGACCTATAGAGATATTGAGGCCATCCATAAAGGATGCACATATGTCAACATGAAACTGATTAATTGCAGCGCTAAATAACAATGGGAAGAATCAAACAAACAACACCAAGTGAATTTAAACTTCACCTCATTACACAAGCAGATGGCTATCATGACTCAATAGCTAAGCGGATAACGCGATGGCGTTTAAAGCGAGCAGTACTGGGTTCGAGTCCTGGAGTGAACATCAACTCTGAGATGCAGTTACATCCAGGTGACCAATCTCAATTAGAATGAAACACACATCCTGGATTCCACTTCTAGCCATCGTCCATTTTTGTTTATAATGCTTGTGACTTAAGATAATATCGAGGAAATTCGTACAGTATGCATATATGTCAGTATGAGGCTGATCATTTGCAGTGCTAAACATCAAATGAGAAAAGAAGCAAACAATAATCAACATTATGTTATGATAGCATTAGATTAAAGAATATTCTTAATGTTCCGCTTGAATCCTTTATTCAGTCAGTTTATCATAATAATTTCATCTATAGATTCTGGCTACAGTTCTATTTGAAATATGTTTGATTGAATTCACTATCCATCTTTTCTAAAAATTGCTTGTGAGTTAAGGCTATATCGAGGTAATCCGCACAGGATGCACATATGCCAACACGAGACTGATGATCAATTGCATTGCTAAATAACAATGGGAAGATACAAGTAAAACAACATCAAGTGAATTTCGGCTTCAAACCATTTCACAAGCAAGTGAATTTCACAATCCATTACATGAACAAACAAGAAAACTCTTCAGAAAAAGAGAAAGTTATCAATGATGTTTCTTAGTCTAATAAACCAGTGAGATTTTATGAAATACCGTTTATGTACATAATGTCTAATAATAAGATTCATGCAAAATCAACACTATGAACGATTAAGATTAATTCATCTAAAACAAATGTTCCATAATAAGGATTAAGTCATGTACACGAACTAAAAGCATAGTACATTTACTAAAACCTAATATCAGAGGAGGTTTTGTGGAGATTGTAGTAATTTAAACAGTTGAGAACATGAGTTAGTTGAAGCTAGACCACCACAGAAAACCTCGAAGCAATGGACGGCCGATTCGTCCTATTATGAGACTCCTCAGCAGCGCGCATCCACAACCCCGCCTCGCGGGATTCGAGCCCAGGACCTATCAGTCTCGCACGCCAAGGCTTAGACCTCTATACCACTGAGCAGGCATCCAACGGTGTTCAAGTTTACCTTCAACTAATCCACGAAATCGACCGACAAATTCACCATTGTCATCAGTGAGTTACTACCTCACAACTGACCCGGTTGAACTCCACTGGTCACTGCTTCTCACTAGAACTCCAAGATATATATCATGAAGCCAGTCATTAGTGAATTATCACTATAGCTACTAAAGAACATTATAATCAATTGAACTTCTTCAAAGTTCAATAGATTTGAAAGATTTGTTAAGATTATTATTGTTGAAAATGTGATTTAGGGTTGTGAAGATTATTATATTTTTTGATTAATATCATGAACTAATTGATATTAGACTTCTACATGAAAACTAAGTACCCTGAATTCGAATCCTAGGAGCGAGATCATAGATTTGCACTGCTGAAAAGTTTCAAAACAGGATGAAACAATCATTCAGTACTTAAGGTTTCCAATAATAATCCAATATCAAACTTAGTTTCCATGGGAAAAAAAAACAAAGTATCTTTTTGTCGTATCAAGTTTTTTACTTTTCATTTTTCACAGTTTGTTTATCTATTTTTTTATTCCATCTGTCGTTCAAATTGTATTTAACTATACAGTGGTCTATTAAAACAACAAAAAAATAAATTAAACTTAATTTTTCACCTGTTTTTCTTTTCTTCTTTTTTAATCTTTGAACTCTATAAACCTCAAATACAGTTATAAGTAGTATGATACATTATTATATTACAAATATGAAATGTCAATTATTCATTAAATACTACACTTATATTAATAATTAAAAAAGAAACTCAGATTATTCTAATATTCATTGAAATCTTTCAGAATTAGTCTATAATCTAATTGTAGGTTATCACCATAGATACTACAGAAGATTAATAATCAATTGATGTTCTTCTAAGTTCAATGTATTTGAAAGATAAATATTGTTCAAATGTACGATTTATTATCAGTATAGGGTTATGGAAATGATTATGTATTTAATTAAGATCATGAATTAATTGATGTTAGACTACTACATATAACCAAAGGCCCTTGAGTTCGAATCTCGTGAACGAGATCGTGGATAAGCACTGTTGAGGAGTTTATAATCTAAATTGAATATGATGAGTGATCGATTCATCATCATCATCATCATCATCATCATCATCATCATCATCATCATCATCATCATCATCATCATCATCATCATCATCATCATCATCATCATCATCATCATCATCATCATCATCATCATCATCATCATCATCATCATCATCATCATCATCATCATCATCATCATCATCATCATCATCATCATCATCATCATCATCATCATCATCATCATCATCATCATCATCATCATCATCATCATCATCATCATCATCATCATCATCATCATCATCATCATCATCATCATCATCATCATCATCATCATCATCATCATCATCATCATCATCATCATCATCATCATCATCATCATCATCATCATCATCATCATCATCATCATCATCATCATCATCATCATCATCATCATCATCATCATCATCATCATCATCATCATTATGAATATTCAGCAATAACATTAATTGAATCAAATCATCATACGTTTAATTGAATACAATTCGATTATATACATCAATTTACTAAATAAATAACACTATGTATTTATTATTATTGTTTCTAAGTAATTGAATAATGGGATTGTATTAGATTCTCATTGTATAAATTAAATTATATGTTAACAATTGTTCGATGGAAAAAGGAAAAGAAAAGAGAAAAAGAAAAAAGAAAATAAGAAGAAAACATAATTATTCTATTTAGCAATTGATTAATATGAATTATATAAGATGATTATCATTTAGTAAAATTGACATGTGTATGTTTTTTACCTAAACATATTCATATAATAGAAGTATTATGTAATCCATAAGATTGTAGGTGGTCTATAAAAACAAGTTAAACCTGTTAAATATGTAATTAATATCAAATGGGTTTTGTGGATATTATAGTAATTTCAATGGTTAAGATCATGAGTCAGTTGAAGCTAGACCAGCATGGAAAACCTGGGAACATTGGATGATCGTTTCGTCCTATTGCGCGAAACCAGTAGATCCTGGGTTCGAATCTCGCAGCGGGCGAGGTCGTGGATGCGCACTACTGAGGATGAGATGGCCGTCCATTGCTTCCAGGTTTTCCATGGTGGTCTAGCTTTAACTAACTCATGATCTTAACCATTGAAATATATAATTCATTTTTATTCTTATATAATCCGTATTGAAACTTATAGTTTAAGATGTTCTGTATAGACATATTTATATGAGAAACTAGTGAGGAAATGTTCAATTTCTATTGTTTGTTTAAATCTTCCTATTAATGTTTACGACTGTAATTGATCAATCTTTTATTGGTATATGTGCATTTTGTGAGGATTGACTTGATATAGCCTTTGGTTACGAGCATTATAACAAAATTGGATGATGGCTAATAGTGGAATCCAGTTTGACGCGAGTTTCATCTTATTTATGACTCGTCAGCTGAATGTAACTACATCATAGAGTTAATGTTTACTCTAGGACTCGAACGAAGTACCGTTCGCCAGAAATTCCATCGCGTTATCCAATTATATTAGATATCTTCTTTTAACATACAAAAAACTACTTATATGAACTAACGTTACTTTTCACCATAATGTGATGTTAATTTAATAATCACTAATAATACTGGTTAGTTTATTACAAAGTGAAATTAGGTGTAATAAAATCAAAAGTGACTTCTTACTTGTTTAGTTACAAGTTTTATTTAATTTCAATAGTTGAGATCTTGAGTCAATTGAAGTTAGACCATCATGAAAAACCTGGAAGCATAGGATGATCGTTTCGTCCTATTGTGACACTCCTCAATCAAACATCCTTAATCAAATAAAGTCTTGAAATGATATATTAAATTACAGTCGCTTTAACACTGATTTCAAATAAAATGAACATTAGTATAATACCACTTTTTGGTTAACTTTTTAATTTATATGTTAATTAATGTACACCAAAATGTTGGTGAATACAAATAGTAGAAAAGTTTCATCACAAATTAATAATGGAGAGCTAACAATATAACTGTGATTACTGATATTGTAGTGAACGAAGATGTCTAGTAGAGAGAACCAATTTATTGTCTCCATAAATTATGAAAACCATACATTATATACTTCATTTTCACATCTTCCATCAGTTATCCTTTTTATCCTTCATAACTCATCCAACTCTGTTTTTATGACAATTCTTTTTAGGTTCATTCTGGTTCTCTTCAATCTTCGAAATTCTCTTTTGACAGGCATTCTACATCTGCTTGATGTTACATACTACTTATATTAGACAACTTAAGTAGCATACACTGCAATACATTTAGTAGTAGATAAAACATTTTCAATTTATTTTCTCATGTTTGAATTGATGAGTCGATTTAAACTAGACCACTTTGGAAAACTTGGAAGCATTAGACAGCCGTCTCATCCTAGTTCGGAACTCCTCAGCAGTGAGCATCCATGACCAGCTCAGTGGTCTAAGGATTAAGCGTTCGACCGCGAAACCAAAAGTCCTGGGTTCGAATCTTGTGCTCGGGATCGTGGATGCTCTCTGCTGAGGAGTACACTGATGGAACGAAACGGCCGTTCAGTACTTCCAGGTTTTCCATGGTGGTCTACCTTAAGTCGACTCATGAATTCAACCATTAAAAATCACTACAATTTCCATAAACCTTGATTTTCTTTCTATCTTGTTGAGTTCTTTGAACTTAGTGGTTCAATTTGATAAGATTTCATTGTCATACTGAACAACATTAACCCCTAGTTTGCGTAAAAGTAAGCTTATTTTTGCCACAAGTTTTAATTCACATTTTTCTGATGACCTTGTTTGTGTGTGATTGCCTTCATTAGTTTTACTGTCTTCATTTGTCCTTGTATTAAGGTTATCTATCCTATCATGTTTGATTGACCTCTGATTGTATGATTGGTTATCCATTGACGTACATGTTGACAGATCGAGTCTATCTCAATGTGAATATTCCATAATTATATACGAAATGACTAATCTTAACAATTGAAATGAACTTAATAAACCGAACGAAGTAAACAACTCAATTAATTCATTATCAGTTACAATAATCGTAATTGAATAACAACAATAGTAAAAGTGAATACACAGATAGGAAGATGCCGATGAAAAATCACATAAACATAACTAAAACTGTGTACCTCTTTCAATGGACAATTTATCAAACTCTGTTATTTACGATATTAAATCTAATCAAATACTTATTATACATGAATAAATGAACAAACAAACAAACAAACAAACAATTAAGGCGTATTTAATACTTCACAGGAAATCAGTCTGAAGAATTATTTCATAATTACATATATCCACTGCTAGTCACTATCCATCTTTACTTAAAAAGCTTGTGACTTAAGGCAATATTGAGGCAATCCATACAGAATGTACATATATCAATCAGAGATTGATCAATTGTAGTTCTAAAAACAAACAATGGGAAGATACAAGCAAACAACATCAAATGAATTATATCAATTGTTGAAATAGGGTGGTTGATAAATTGTTATATTGGTTTGTATTAATTTGCAGTAACACATACAACATACTTTTGTTTTAATATGATATAGTTAAGTTATCATCTAGAAAAGTAACCATAGGTCAATAACAAGATAATTGTAATGAATACTAGTTGAACAGATATTCATTGCCTTAAACGTATTTCCTTAGAAAACAGTATTCGAATTCTTGTTAAGCAGACTGCACCAATAAATTTGTTACTTTGACAGTTCTGTAGATCAGAATGACAGATAATGCATATACATATGTCAATAATAACGTGGTATAAGACATTAATTAGACTATCAAGAAAAATTATTACCTTAAGATAATGAACATTTGCAAATGTATCAATATCATTATTGAAAATAAATTCACTTGGTATTGTTGACTTGAATCTTTCCATTCTTATTTAGAACTGCAATTGATCAGTCTCTTATTGGCATATATGCATACTAAGAGTATTGCCTCGATATTGCCTTAATTCACAAGCAGATTAACACCGGCTCAGTGGTCTAGAGGTTAATTGTTCGCGCGAGAATCACTGGTTTTAATCTCAAGAGGTGAGATCGTGGATGTGCACTGCTGAAAAGTGTCATAATAGGAAGAAACGACCGTCCAATGCCTCACAGTTTTCCATAGTGGTATAGTTTTAATTGACTCATGATCTCAACTATTAGATTAATTAATATCAACACTTTATCGTAAGCAATGAAAGTCATTCATATACTCTTTTCTATAAATCTGTATATCGATATTTTTAATCTAACCTGATTAAAAGAACAATACAGTTTTTATAGAAAACAACATTTACTATGTACCATAAAATAATGGTGATATGAAATAATTACATAGGTTGTTGCTTTATGTAAAAAAAGAAAACATTCAGAATAACATTAATTAATACTGGCAATAATATAATAATAATAATAATAATAATAAGCGCTCGCGCGTGAGACTGATAGGTCTTGGGTTCGAATCTCACGAGGCAGGATCATGGACGCGCACTGCTGAGGAGTCCCATACTGAGACGAAACATAGGTCCAGCGCTTCCAGATTTTCCATGGTGGTCTAGTTTCAATGAACCCATCAATTCGTCTACTAAAATTAAAATAAATATAAAAATTGAAATTTTTATTTCTAATGTATCCCCATATGTAATTGTATATTTGTGTACTATTCGTATACTTGAAACTAGAAGAATTTTGAAAAAGAATATAGTTAAACTGATGCTATATTACATTTTGGTTGAAAATGGAAAAAAAAGCGAAATCCAACAAAACTGTCTTGTGATTTTATTATACATTCATGTGACTTTTAATTGGGTTAATTTTTTTATCATGAATTTGGTCGTAGTGACATATTTCTCCCGCTGTGGAGAGTATTATGTAAGCTTTTAAATAAGTGAAGCAATACATAAAACTAAAACTTTATTTCGATGGTATATCCTGCTTTCTGCTAGTCATATTTTTGATTTTATTAAAGATAAAGAAGTTTTAAGTGAAGTATCAGTTGGAAAATTAGTCAATAAATCAGTTTTAATGGTTGAGATCATGAGTCAATTGAAGTTACACCAGAATGGAAAACCTAGAAGCATTGGACGTCCATTTCGTTCTATTGTAGGACTCCTCAGAAGTGCGCATTGACGATCCCGTCTCGTGAGATTCTAACCCAGGACCTATCGGTTTCTGTTTTAGCCTAAGATAATTCTAATTATTTGTAAATAAATTTGGTTTTCTGAACACAGTTATTTTAAACATTCAGTTTAAGGTTAATGGACACTAAGCCGTAGTTTACATCTTAATATTTTAATTATCCTATACAACACATCTTCAGTACATGTGACTTAGTTTACTTATTCATCATATTTCTAAATGACTTAAATAAAACCATTTTCTCTTTCTTTAACTATAAAGTTTATTGGTAACAATTGAACAGTTGAATAGATGTACGTTTATTATTAAGATGAGTAGGTTTTATTT